TTGATGCTAGAAGTCAGAGGTCCCGCTTGAAGTACCTGTTCAGTCCGCGGAATGTAGTCCCTTTCGTACACCGTCTCAACAGTGCGAACTTGCAGTTTGTGGCATTTCTTCTGCAGCCATGGGGATAGTGCGTCTACTTGATGTTGGAAAGACGATTCAAAGGTATTCCTTAGGTACCAGTGCAGTTACTTAGCCATGCAGGAACAAATTTTTCCTAGAGTTCATCACGTCATGAGTCCGCTACTCTTGTTAGATGTCACTATTCTTCCCTATTAGAGTCTTCTTCTGCTGTGGCCTTGATTGCAGTGTGCTTCTCTTCAACGTCCCTCCATACCACACTCCGTGGCCGTTCGATTTGCCTTCAAATCCTAGTGCTTACCTTGTCGGGTGATCCTCTTGTCCTTGTACTGTAAGCGTGTGCCCACATCCCAGGGCACATCCTGCCCTTGTGGGAAGGGAGGGGCATTTTTGCAAAGAGCGATCCCCCTTCAAGGTGCTCCTCTGATACGATCTCGCTATTTCCCCAGTCCGCAGTCATACTTACCACCTTCCTGAAGGAGGTTTTCCCCAGAAAAATTCTGTCGAGGAGGGGAGAGGGTGGCTAGAGGGGTACAAGGTGGCGAAAAATTGCATGTGCCATAGTGCTTTTACGGAACATTATTTCATGAAAGTATGAACCAGGGTATTTTAGAACTATGGAGTATTCTCAAGGTTACTGTCATCAGTTTCGATACAAGCCTCAACCAGGCTCATCATTAGTGGAGTCCGTACGACCCCCCCCCTCTAAATGCCGAGCGGGGGTAGAAACCGCGACAAAAATACGACCCTCTCCTTTCTCCATAATACCGACCGTTTTCTTAGATGCTCCCCAACTTTCTACAACTTCTTCCGAAATTTCCCGAAGATTTTCCCTGTTTTTACCCCAAAAAGTTTGCAGTTGAGGGGGGGGGGGTGGGGGATAGTACACGTGAAACAGGAACAACCACGAGAAAACAGCCACCTCTCCCGGAAGGTTAGAATGGAAATACGACCCCCCCTGTTGGGGAATCCCCAACAACGATGTGCCCTGGCCTCAGGGTGGGGGTAGGGCGAGTGTAGTAGTCAACATCTAAATTCACCCATACTTTCAAAGCCTGCTTGTTTTTTAACTCATGAGAAATTTGGCGTTTGGCTCCTAAGTTGCTGCTATATCACTCCTTATACATACAAGCCTCGGATCCAGATCCGTTCTGCTAGAAAGTTCTCAGTCAAAAAGAACCGATTTCGGGCAAAAGGAGTGGATTGCTGGTTTCCATCCTACAGATCGAAGCATAATCCTTTGCTGCATGTTCTTGACCTTGTGTTGTCTAATGATACGAGCATAGTCTCAGATTTGCAAGTAAGGTCTCCGATAGGTTCCAGTGATCATTATTCGCTGCACTTCAAAATTAATGCGTGTGTACCTATTGCATCTGTAATAGTCAAGCGTAATTTTAAATTAGCTAACTACAATAAGATTTGCTCATATCTCGAAGGAGTTGACTGGTTTGGTTCTCTCAATAGCGCTCAGTCAGTAGATGATAAATACGAACTATTTATTGCAATTCTCACACATGCCATTGAACTTTTTGTCCCAGTTAGCAAGAAAAGACTGAGGGAATCAAATCTGCCACCATTTCTGGAACGGCTGTCAACAAGAGGGAAAATGCGTGGGTGAAAGCAAAGACGTCGAACACTGCTGAGTACTGGGAATCCTTCAAACGCATTCAAAAGTCTTTCGAGTCAAAACTTCGGAAATATAATGCGTCTGTTGAGAAGAGAGTTGTGTCTTCTCGCTGTAAGAGTGCCTTTTATAAGCTAGTGAAGTCTCGGTTAAAGCGTAAGTCAAGGTTGCAAGCCTTACGTACTCCTTCTGGGAGAGTTCTTCTTGATGATGTTGAGCGAGCTGAGTTACTGGCTTCCACTTTTGAAACATACTTCGGAGATAGTGAGCAAGCGGTGGTTTCACTATTAACCAACGAATTCCCCGCGATGGGAGATTCTGTCTGGTTTCACAGAGATGAGATTTTGAAAGCCCTCCTAAAATGGCCTAATTCAGAGTCCTTGACGCCAGACTTTATTCCCCTATCTTTCATTAAGAAAGTGGCGCACATCATTAGTAGTCCATTGGAGTACATATTTAACCTGAGTTTCATGCGATCTGAGGTACCTAAAAGGTGGACCCAGTCTCTAATTACCCCCCTGCCCAAAAAACCGCCATACAGTGAGGCCTCCAATTACAGACCAGTCAGCATAACTTCAGTATTCGCTAGGCTTTTCGAAAAAACATTGAAAAAACACATCGTTCTCCACCACTTAGAAGACCACTCCGTTATATCTCCTTACCAACATGGATTTCAAAAGGGGAAGTCAACGGTGACGGCAATGATACAGGTGCTTAATGATTGGACGAAATATCTTGATGAAGGCAAGAACGTTGATGTAATATACTTTGACTTCCTTAAGGCCTTTGATAGAGTACCCCATGAAAAATTACTCCACAAAATGTACGTCGTAGGAATTCATCCCCGGATAATCGCTTGGCTCAGATCCTTCCTCTCCGAACGAAAGTTTATAGTACGTGTCAACTCCTCTTTTTCCAAGCCTAGAATCGCTCGCAGTGGTGTACCACAGGGAGGTGTCCTTTCGCCGATCCTATTTAATATTTATACCTATGATTTACTTAAACTTCTCTCTATGAGTAATGTGGAATACTGTGCTTTCGCAGATGATCTGAAACTCTACCGGCTTATAGATGGTAGCTCGGATATAGGTGCGCTTCAGAGTGCGATCGATGCAGTTCTAGAATGGTCTCGACAGTGGGATTTGCCACTCTCCGGGTTCAAGTCGAAGGTACTGCACCTAGGTAGTCGCAATGGACAGCACTGTTACACGATAGACGGCACTATTCTCAACAGTGTGCACGAGGTACAAGATTTGGGATTCCTGGTGACTGATAATCTTGACTTTGATGCACACTGCAGGTTAATAGCCAAGAAAGCTACTGTTATGACTCACAACTTGTTTCAGAGTTTTGCAACTAAAGATGCATCGATACTATTACAGGCTTACAAGACTTTCATCAGGCCAATTGTGGAATACGGTACTCCCGTGTTCAATCCCTATAAGGTTAAAATGATTAACGCATTGGAGAGAGTCCAGAATAACTTCACTAGGAAGCTCATGGTACGCGTATTAGGGTTCCGTTATGATCAAATTCCCTCCAGTGCCGCTAGAAACAAGAACTTTGAGTTGTCTACTCTTGTGCGGAGGAGGAAGCGGAACGATCTCTTGCTCTTGCATAAACTCCTGCACGGTGGGCCTATTGAACTTGGACGTCTTTTTTCGCTCAAGTCGTCCATTACTCGGGGAAGCACTATTAAATATAACCTTGCTAAAGCGAGGGTAAATAGTAGGCGTCATTTCTTTTCACACAGAGCCTTACCTTCATATGAGAAACTCGATAAGAAGCATCCCATACCGTTAAATTACAGCACTTTCAAGGCACTATTGAATAAAAGCTTGAGTCCATGAGGCCTTATATGAGCTCACGTTACGTTCGCTTTGTTGTTGTCGTTTCGAATATTTACTGGTAATGTTTCTCAGGAGTAGTTGTTCCTCTCATTAAGTTGTTTTCGTACACACACAATTTCGTTGTGTAATAAATACTAATACTAAATACCTTTGCCTAAAATCAGGCCTAATTAAAGGACAAAAAGGGACTAAATCTGGATCTAGGATGTACTGTTATGAAGTAAGGGCCATGCAATAAAGGCTCAAAAAACAAAATGGAAGTCAGTGGCCTCGCTCACAATAAATACTCGGCCACCGGGTTTACTGTAAACTCCTTATCCCTGAGCCAGAATAGGCGTGGCATTTGAACATGGCACGGAACTGGTTACTCGTGAATATTCCAGTCTGGGACAACTGTCATCTTGTTCTGTGTTGACAGAGACACGGCAACAATGCGTGTCAGGAATGAAAATATCTCACCAGAAGCATAGACTCCTTCATGTTAAGTCGAAGCAGGCAGCCACGCTAACCGATCTCAGGGATTTCGAGTATACATGAGGCGCTACGCGCTTAGGTCGTTTTGCAGGGACATGGTTAAGCCTGATCCGCCGCCTCATCGGACGTTCACCTTAGTCATGATTAGGGGAGCTTCCAGCAATATAAAAATTAGTACGATTATATATATATATAATTATTATTAACAATTTAAAATTATTTACAAATATGTGGTTCTGCCCAAGCGCTGAGCGTGAAACGTACATCGAAATAAGTTATTTTTCACCCACTAATGATAGTTTGGAACCCAAGGGGTTACCAAAACAATTATGGTTACATGATTAGAATGGAATCGAGCGGGTTGATGCTAGAAGACAGAGTATTCCAGCTCAAAGCAGCTTCTTTCTCGTGATCTGAACCACGCAAAGACAAGCTCAGTAGGGGACGTTTCGAGCGCAGACCATCACCGTCATGAGATATGTTTACTCGCATTTAATATCCTCCTCCTGTTCCTCATTCCATGGCCCAACTGTTTGTCTTGAAACCCCGGGATAGGGCCATAGCGTGGCGCCAGCCGTCGCCTGCTGGCTCCGCATGGCACTCATTTGTCACGAGACAACTGATCGCCATTGATCCCACTGAAATCACTTCCTCGTTGGTCCCAAGCAGTCGTTCTTGCTTTACTCCTCAGAGGCGGCTGACTTCCTTCACTAGTAGAATCACTTGAACTAAGTGTTGTTTGTCCCATGGCTGAGTTCATTTCAATCGAAAATAGAAGCTGACCTTTTAGAACACATTAGCTAACCTGTGACCGACTCTTTCCTATCCCGCGAACAGAAAAAGAGGTTCCAAATCACATGAACCAGAGGGTGTCTGGCCCGTGAACGGCTAGACTTCGCAAGTGTAATATCCTGAGCAATTGTTCCGTACATTCTCACGAGTCCAGTTCATCCTTGTTCATTTCCAGGAGCAGGATGGTGCTGACTTTTGCGGTGCTGTTCCTACTTTCTTGCTCATCCGTTACTACTTTATCTATACTCGATCAAATACATAGGGTAAATGAACCGGTACCAGTTTGTGATGCTTCAAATTCAAATAACTCGTAAGTGAAATACAGTGTGTAAGGCGTCCTATCTTTGAGAGGTAACCTACTGTTTCAACATTTTCAGGTACATTTATTGTAATGGAACTTTATTAATGGCTGTAAACTTTCACGAACTGTACAATGATTCAAAGACTTTTGTTGATATGCCTATGAGATATGATCCAGGTGCGTTATCTGTTCGAGACAGGCTCCCCGCTACCTCCAATCTCTCCCTTCACGAGGTAAAATTTACCCGACTTTTCAATCTAGGCTCAATGTTCGCGGAAGGCTTGCTCAGAAACTAGTCCGCCGTGGGTACAGTCTGGTTTGACTCTCCGAAGATGAAGATAACGTTCGCGCAAAGCGACTCACTCTTCCCACTATGGGAACCCCTGCCCCAGAGACTTACTTCCGCGCCATACGATCGTTATGTACAGGACACCATCTGCATTTGGGAAAGTTTTCGCAAAACCCGACCTCCTCCTCGAGGTTTCTCCTCTGGTGCGACTTCGTTCCGCCCCCGCCCCCACCTACTCATTCCTTGAATTTCCTCCATTTCTCACCACTTTTCAGGAGTTTCTCCTGAAAACTTCTCCACTGCTTCCATAATATACTGGGGGAGATGAGGCGAAGGGGGAGGTATTTGTAGCGTGTTGAGGCGGAGCGGGGTTGCAAAACAGGAAAACTGAGAAAAGCCAACCCCGACCATTTTCCTTGAGGTGAATACCACCCTGCTCTTCAGCGACTCCCCCCCCCCCTTACCTTCCCAGCGTACGACGTGATCTGATTACGTAAATAATGAGGCTATCAAACAACCTCGGGAGATTGGTTTTCAGTAAACTTAGCCATATAAGATGCCCTGGAGCTGGAGCCGATAGCGTGGAAGAGATGCATATTGTACCAAATGGATGCCACATTCGTGTTCAGAGAGGCAGGACTATCCGGTGACAAATTCCTGCCAAAATTTCCGCTGGAGAGATGGTTCCCTGTGAATTCATAGGGATTTTCTAAAAATGGTGCTAGACCAGCGATGACTATGACATCTAGCTGGAACGTTCTCCAATTTGGGACAAGCACTAAGACGATATCTGGTTACTCGTACGGTTGTTTCCCATTCCCCACTGGTCTCGAATGGAAGTCCTCTGCATTAACCCAACTTCACCAACTTCTTATCCTATTCATCCCCAATTTTTCAGAAAAAGCTCGTAGGCCGAAGCAGGAGGAGGCACAAGGAAGGGTCAGAACCTAGAAAAATCTCAAAAATCGCAAGACCTCATCGAAAAAGGTGGTCGTTATTGAGTTGTGGTAAACATCATGCTGAGAAGGGTGTGCAGTAAACTATAAGTGCACAATTGGGACTTGTGTGATACGAGTGCAGGATTTGGACCTCTATTATTCGAGTGCAGGCTCTCTTCAAGTCTGAGAGAAGTGCAGGGCTGGGACTTCTGAGATGAGAAGACAGATTAGAAAGCTAATACGACTCGATTACAAGGACCGTTTTCCGGGGCGCTGTTTATCGACGGGGGCATTCTGCTTTTCATAGATTTGCCAACCCATCTAGGTACCTTTTTCGAGTTGACACGTTTTAGGATGGTGGCTAGACGATCTTGCTCCAGCTTCACAAGCGTTCACAAGTTTTACCAGAGTGAGATTTGTAAACCGGAACCAGGGAAGCAATTATAATAAAAATCCCCCGTCGATAAACAGCGCCGTTTTTATTAGAGTCTAACCGCAGATGGTGTGCCGTGGCCTGGTGTCTCTATCCTGTTCACATAAATGTTGCATTGGTAGGATTTTTGCTGGAGGAATATCAGAAGTCTATAACCACGACCGAGAGATTGAGCTCCAGAAAATCAGGCCGTTTGGGTTGGATGAACTCATTGCTAAATGCTTAGCTTCCTGCGGGTCCGTTGGTTACTTCCAGGTTTGTGTAGGAGTTTAAAGCACCCACCTAGCCAACGAACTGCAGGTCATTGTGTAGGCCAAATCACATTGCAACTACAACTCAGAATCGAAGTAGGATGCGCGCTGTCTTCCAATAGTCAATGTCGGAAACTATCCTTTTCTATGAAATTTTGAGCGCTGTTTGGCCTAGGATGTGGGGAAGGGAATTTCGCATTTTGGCCAGATTCTTTTCCTGTTGAACTGCGCGTCTCATCTTGGTGAGCTCCGCAGACCATGCGAAGTGTGAACGAGGCTCCTGCTATTGCGTAGCCTTACAGCAGTTTACCTCTCTCCAAAAGAGGGCTGGCACTAACCGATTGGGACCAGCCAAACGTCCCCCCTCACACCAAGCCGAATTCTGTCAAATTTTTTCCTCACATGTGACTAGCATAGGTATCTTCTACACAAAATTTCTCTCTGCAGTGATTGTCCCTCTTTAAGACTACGTTATGAAGCAATTCGATGCCGAATTTCAAAACGTTTCAATCGAAAATATCAATAAAACAAAGCTGAGAAAGTTCGTCGATGAACATTTCACGTAAGTTGATGATCAGAATTCTTAAAAGTAGAGTAGATTACTGGAAGCTTCTGGTGAGCGGAAAAGAAATCACTCCATAAGATTCCTCGGAAAATCTGTCGATTAGCCTGGCCCCTGTTCAGCGCTGCCCCTGGCTCGACCTCCATCATTGTCAGCCTAATGGCCTCACTACACTTCTAATTATCCTCAAGAATTCTTGGAGAAGAACATGTGCCGGCAAAATGTAACCTTGGAGAGAGCTTTCAAAATATTTGTGCGAAATGTGGTTACCGCGATGAAAAGGGAATTACTGTAATTCGAGCTGGTTCATATACCCGGAAGCCCCTTGATCCTTCAGGCTTGAGCACAAATCTTCATCTCTGTAACAATAATCCTAGTTCTGCACAAGTCCTTTGCATGCCCTTAGCCCTTTGAAGGATACTGGTCCCAAATTTGTCGGCTGGGCAGAATGTACTGCTCTGAAGAACAGCGATGAGTTTCTGGG